CCCGCCCCTCCCGCCCGAGCCCCGGTCGCCCGCCCATTGGCCGCCCGCGCCGCCAATCACGCGCATGTAAACACCTTGGCTCTCAGCCATCCCTATAAAACCAATTACGTACGGAGGGGCTCCGGCGGTTTCCAGGCTCCCCCCGGCGGGGCTGAATGATGCAAACTGGTGGTGAGAATTTTTACGGGCCGTTTCTAGGCAGCCCTCCCCCTCCACCAGCTCGCGTTCCCCCCCTCCCTCCCTTCCTTCTCCTCCTCCTCCTCTTCCTCCCTTTTCCTCCCCCCTCCTTGCCCCAGCGTCTGGGCTGAGTGATCAAAATAGAGGAAGATGGTTGTCGCTGCAATCCAGGGCTTTGCAAGGCGCGGTTTAATGGGCCGCCTGTCAGCTTCCTGCTCGCAGGAGGAGGTGACAAGCCAAGCGAGCCGGGAAGGGCTTGGGGCTCGGCGGACCGCACCCCGCGCCCCGGCCCCCCACCTCTCCTGTGGCGCGCCTTCCAGAACGCGCGTTGGAGACGCCAAAACAGACAAGGGCTTGTTGCTTTTTCTCTCTCTCCCTCTCTCTCTTTTTTTTTTTCTCCTTTTAAAACAAAGCCACGATTCATTCCCTCCTCCCCCCTCCCCCAGCAGCGCGGTCGGGTGGGACTGGCAGGCGAGAAGGCCGTTTTCCTAGCCCCGGCCTGCGGGTCCTCCCTGAACCGCGGTGTCAGATGGTTACTGATTAATATTTTGGAGAGGCCGCGGCGGCGGGCAGCGGGTGAGTCTCTAATCTTCTAAAAGGGGTTCCTATAGAAACAGGGACCGGGCGCCCCCGCCCCCCCCCCGCTCGGCTCCGGCCGGGGTGCGGCGCTTTGGACCGCGCGCCCCCCTCCAAAGTCTTTCTCTGCGTGGGCTCCCCCTCCCCCAAAAATATCAGCAGAAAAAAGGATTAGCTCGGTTGAGCGCAAACTGAATCCCTCTCGATTGTGACATTTCAGCCTATTTGCACTTCTCCACGGGGCCTTCTGAAACCTATTAAAGTGTAATATTAAAAACGTCTTGGCTGGGGGCCTCTCTCGCCTTCCATCCGCCGCGCCCCCTCCAGAGAGGGCGAGACCGGGAAGAAAAAAAAAAATCTGTTGAGCTCAGAGGAAGCCGCAGCCAAACCCAAAAAGTGCTTGGCTGGCCGCGCCGGCCGGGGCGGGGAGCCCCGATCCCCCAGACTTTGTACTTTCCATTTTGCGCTTTCAGCAAAATTCTTTCTACGTTCGGTCGCTGGGCGCTGCCCGCGGCACATCTACCTGGCTGGGGCCGCGGGGAGTGAGGGCCCGGTTGGAGGGGCCGCCCTGGGGGCCCCGCACCCTCTCTCCGCAGCCCTGCAGGGCCCCTTGCCCGCCCAGGCATTACATACCCAAGAAAAGCAGCTCGGAAGGGCAGGAATCCTTGCCGATCCTGCCTCGCAGAGGAACCGCGGCGTTTGTTTTTTAATTAAAACAAGAGAAGCCCGCTCTTTCGCCCCGCACTGCGGACTCAGCGTTTTCGCAACGCTCGTTCTATTTTTTTTTTAATCCATTTTTAAGGAACTTTACTAGAGGGGGGAAACGAGCTAGTTAGCGCCCATTCGTTCTAGTTTCTTTTTTCCGTTTTTAGGAAAAAAGGGGGAAGGCTTCAAGAGCGAAATGGGGGTGTCTAATTTAATTCCAGGATAAATTTGAGGGAGAAAAAAAAAGTTCAGCCTCTTGAGGGCAGTTTCAAATTGCCCTTCCTACAGTCTCCTTCGCTGGTTTCTAGGCTGCCCTCTTTTGGAAGCAGGAGTCGAGGGAGGAGGGTATAGGGAGGGAGGAGTGAGAGGAAAAAAAGGAACGAAAATAGCCCAAGCCGAGGGGAATGCACCGCGGTCCGCGCTTGGAGGAGGGCGCGTGGGTCTCGGTTGCCTCCCGGACGGCGGGAGGCTCCCGGCGCAGCCCCGGGACGGCTGGGAGCAAAGACGGAGAGGAGAGGGGGGTTAGAGAAAGGAGGTATTGTGTCTGTGTGCCTTGGGGGAGGGGGGTGACTGCAGGAAAAATAAACAAATGCATTAGAGCTGCACGGGGCTGCTGGAAACGAAGCCTCGGTAAGGGGCTGTGGAAGGGGGAGGGTGCACAGCCCCCGTGGGCGCCGAGCGTTCTTAAGTCTCCTCGAGAGACGTTGTGGGTTCCCAAGTAAACTCACCCCAAGCCCGAGTTCTCTACACCGCCCCACCCCCCGTTTCCTTCCACTATTGGGAGCCCAACCCTTACCCATTCCTCCCCCCATCATCCCCGTCCGGGA